AAATCATTTTATAATTCAGGATTGGCATTACATAATTAAAAAAAATATAAGGATGCTATTAAATGCTTTGATTAGGCTCTGTCTATTTGCATAAATCCTATTAGACTACAAAGAAAAGGTACTTTTTAATTAAATCTCTATATAGCTGATTCACTATTTGAGTTGCAGTTCAAATAAGAAGCTAAACAATTTTATTTGAATGCTTTACGCCAAGGATCAAATAATAAGGATTACATAAACAGATAACTTGCCAAATTGTGAAGCATCATTATTAATAATATTAAATTTAGAATTGTGTAGGTGCAATGATTTTTCAATCTTGCAAATTTCTTTTCGTAATTTCCATCTTCAGATGTTTTATATACAAATTAACAACTCCAATAATATTATGACGTTCATGTCCATATTCTACACAACCAATTGACTACTGCAATTACACACATTTCATAGTATGAATATAGGCCCTAATCAAATCCATGAATTTTAATGTTATTCGATTGACTTGAATACGAAACTATCTTTCCACACTTATCTTTAATTAAGCATTTGTTGACTTCCAATTATTCAATTTTTCGATCAATACCTTTTATGGACAAGTATTGCTTGCTCCAATAATATAGTCATCTATCTTGACTATCTAGTCAATGTAACAGTTATTTAAATTTAGAATAATTATGCTGCAAGTGCACTTATTTATTTATGCTGAAGTTGAACTTCCCCCAATATGCGACAGTTTATATGCCTTGAAAATCCCTTTGTCACTAACATATTTAGGCAGTTTACATAAATAACTGTAGAGCAACACTGAATACAATACTTGTAAATCTTGGTAGGTAGGTAATATTGCTCTCTGAACAATTATGCCTTGAGATATTCACTCTATATAATAATGTTCTTTCAACTGATGAGATATATAAATCAACTACATAAAGATCTTTGTCATTTAAAATGTCCGATTGAATACACTTTGCATATGAAGCAATGTTTAGAATTTCATTTGGATATATACTTACCTGTAAGCGATAAAATGAGTAACCCATATAGCTGATACTATAACTAGTGAATGGATTAATGCTGCTTTTTAACATATGCTATCAGTGCATTTGATACCAGTTATGTTGTTCATTAATTTTTATTTTAACCTTAATGGATTGTTAGAGGCAATTTACATTTTATTTATTAAAATTAAAAATTAAAAATCATATCTGTTGATTCAATTCTATAATTACTTCTTTTATATTTAAGAAATTGTAAGTTTAGTTTCCTTAGGATGAAATTCATTTTAATAGAGGCTTGTTACTAAACACACCATCGCAATTAATTTTAGATAAGAATTTTCCACAAATTACCTAAGATAAAAAGAAAAGCAAGGCTTGACAGGGCAACAATTTATTTAACCTGCCAAAGTGTAACGTTGATCCTAGTCAAGAGGCCTGAAGTTTTGATGAATAATTTTTCTATGTATAGAATTAGATATTAGTGTTGTATCTTCCATGTATGAGACTTATTCAATAATTTAGTGAAGTTACTCTACTGTCCTACTTCACAGTACCAGTTTAGGAATGCATCATAAATGCTGGTAAAGTACCCCATTAAGTCGAATGTATATGAGAACTACTAGTTCCTCCTTTCTTTTTATTGTATATCAAAGAGCCTGAACAAATGGCGTTTCTTGCTACTTTCTTAGGACAAACCATTTATCAATCTTAATATTTCTATTCGAAGCTTTATGTATCAGTTTGAGAAGCATATTTGAGGACGTCTCTTATTCATTCATTGTGAAAAGTGTATGGCAAGATGAGATTAAGACAGCGTTGATGAAATTTTATAAAAAACAAGATTGTGTGTGCTACTTATGATAGTGAAATTTAATTATTTTTCTCTGGTGCTTACGCTTGATTGCTACAATATATTGTACTTGAGCCTAATGCTTCTCACAGGATATGCACAATAAATTCAAGGAGTTATCTCAATATAATCCTGTTCGTTTAATATAAAGCTGTATGTTTTATATTCTTATAACTATACAAGAATTTGAGTTACTAAAGGCCTTATTATTGAATATAACATAAACTTTGTCATTTATGTTTATACTATAATCACAAATTAACTACATCTTTTCAGCATCTAAAGCAAGTGATATTTTTAAAACGCTCCAAAAGTATTAAAGCACTTAATGCATTTGTTTCACTTCATAATTTGTTATTATTCATAAGTTAGGTATAAATAGTTACATTAAAAAATATATGAGGTGGCACATTTGTATGCATTATATGTGATGAGAGTATAGTGAGCTGCGTATTTATTCTCCTCAAAAAGCAATCAAAGAAGAACAAGATAAATTAGTTCGTTCATAATACTGAATATTTTAGCAATTAATTCTTTAGAATAATAAAAGGTTAAAGACACAAGCACTGGCTTTAAATCATAAGTTGGTATTTCACATAATTGTGCATATGTAGATTTGATCCAATTTGTAATGTGTCTTTTTTCATTGATTTCACTGCTTCTAAATTCAATAATGAATATTGTGTTTGTGTTGAAGTAATAAGTTAACGCATATTAGACAAATGATAATTGTTAGTCTAATTTATGTTGATAATCGGAAGCCATAATACAATTTATTGCTGCTTCAGGTTACTTTAGATTTGTCAACAAATTTTTTACTGATGTACTTAATTTATATTGACCCATTAGAAATGACTAGGCCGATCGGGGCCACCAAGCCAGAAGCCCATAAAAATTGAGCTGAATGAAAAAGTTGGATAGTGCAATGCACAGGCATGATGTCAAAGAATACTTACACACAAGCAAGAGTTGCTATGGTCAACATCTTAGCTAAAAGACATTAATAATTTTTGGATACTCAGTTGGCTAGCAAGCTCAATGTATATTATTCGATATTGCACAGAAAATGCCAGATAAATACTACATTTAGTCAAGGCGACTAATATGCTCAAAAATATAACTAAATGAGATAGCACAAACATTGCAGAAACTATTAAATGAATCATAAGAGTTATATTTCAAGAAATCTCCTCATGTGCGATTTCAGCAGTATTTGACACAATAAATTAATCAAGTCCAACAGAATGNTACTTGTAAATCTTGGTAGGTAGGTAATATTGCTCTCTGAACAATTATGCCTTGAGATATTCACTCTATATAATAATGTTCTTTCAACTGATGAGATATATAAATCAACTACATAAAGATCTTTGTCATTTAAAATGTCCGATTGAATACACTTTGCATATGAAGCAATGTTTAGAATTTCATTTGGATATATACTTACCTGTAAGCGATAACTAGTGAATGGATTAATGCTGCTTTTTAACATATGCTATCAGTGCATTTGATACCAGTTATGTTGTTCATTAATTTTTATTTTAACCTTAATGGATTGTTAGAGGCAATTTACATTTTATTTATTAAAATTAAAAATTAAAAATCATATCTGTTGATTCAATTCTATAATTACTTCTTTTATATTTAAGAAATTGTAAGTTTAGTTTCCTTAGGATGAAATTCATTTTAATAGAGGCTTGTTACTAAACACACCATCGCAATTAATTTTAGATAAGAATTTTCCACAAATTACCTAAGATAAAAAGAAAAGCAAGGCTTGACAGGGCAACAATTTATTTAACCTGCCAAAGTGTAACGTTGATCCTAGTCAAGAGGCCTGAAGTTTTGATGAATAATTTTTCTATGTATAGAATTAGATATTAGTGTTGTATCTTCCATGTATGAGACTTATTCAATAATTTAGTGAAGTTACTCTACTGTCCTACTTCACAGTACCAGTTTAGGAATGCATCATAAATGCTGGTAAAGTACCCCATTAAGTCGAATGTATATGAGAACTACTAGTTCCTCCTTTCTTTTTATTGTATATCAAAGAGCCTGAACAAATGGCGTTTCTTGCTACTTTCTTAGGACAAACCATTTATCAATCTTAATATTTCTATTCGAAGCTTTATGTATCAGTTTGAGAAGCATATTTGAGGACGTCTCTTATTCATTCATTGTGAAAAGTGTATGGCAAGATGAGATTAAGACAGCGTTGATGAAATTTTATAAAAAACAAGATTGTGTGTGCTACTTATGATAGTGAAATTTAATTATTTTTCTCTGGTGCTTACGCTTGATTGCTACAATATATTGTACTTGAGCCTAATGCTTCTCACAGGATATGCACAATAAATTCAAGGAGTTATCTCAATATAATCCTGTTCGTTTAATATAAAGCTGTATGTTTTATATTCTTATAACTATACAAGAATTTGAGTTACTAAAGGCCTTATTATTGAATATAACATAAACTTTGTCATTTATGTTTATACTATAATCACAAATTAACTACATCTTTTCAGCATCTAAAGCAAGTGATATTTTTAAAACGCTCCAAAAGTATTAAAGCACTTAATGCATTTGTTTCACTTCATAATTTGTTATTATTCATAAGTTAGGTATAAATAGTTACATTAAAAAATATATGAGGTGGCACATTTGTATGCATTATATGTGATGAGAGTATAGTGAGCTGCGTATTTATTCTCCTCAAAAAGCAATCAAAGAAGAACAAGATAAATTAGTTCGTTCATAATACTGAATATTTTAGCAATTAATTCTTTAGAATAATAAAAGGTTAAAGACACAAGCACTGGCTTTAAATCATAAGTTGGTATTTCACATAATTGTGCATATGTAGATTTGATCCAATTTGTAATGTGTCTTTTTTCATTGATTTCACTGCTTCTAAATTCAATAATGAATATTGTGTTTGTGTTGAAGTAATAAGTTAACGCATATTAGACAAATGATAATTGTTAGTCTAATTTATGTTGATAATCGGAAGCCATAATACAATTTATTGCTGCTTCAGGTTACTTTAGATTTGTCAACAAATTTTTTACTGATGTACTTAATTTATATTGACCCATTAGAAATGACTAGGCCGATCGGGGCCACCAAGCCAGAAGCCCATAAAAATTGAGCTGAATGAAAAAGTTGGATAGTGCAATGCACAGGCATGATGTCAAAGAATACTTACACACAAGCAAGAGTTGCTATGGTCAACATCTTAGCTAAAAGACATTAATAATTTTTGGATACTCAGTTGGCTAGCAAGCTCAATGTATATTATTCGATATTGCACAGAAAATGCCAGATAAATACTACATTTAGTCAAGGCGACTAATATGCTCAAAAATATAACTAAATGAGATAGCACAAACATTGCAGAAACTATTAAATGAATCATAAGAGTTATATTTCAAGAAATCTCCTCATGTGCGATTTCAGCAGTATTTGACACAATAAATTAATCAAGTCCAACAGAATGTGTTAAATATATTTAATTCAGCCAACAATAAGAGAAATAATCACTACATTATTTCCACAGCCGGCCATATGAAAACATCTAAATAGACATGAAGCACACTAGGTGCTAAAAATTACTATTTATACTTTAATGAAAGTGGAGTGCACTAGTTTAAGTAGTATAATTGTTATATTCTAAATAAGATTTAACAACACAATAAGTAAGGAATAAGAGTATGAGAGCCAGTTCAATATAAGTGTTTATGCAAGCTTCTCTCTCATGAACAAAATTTTAGGATGCTAAACAATTTATATCTTTTGGTCAATTTAATTAAATCTATAAAATAGAAACAACATTTCTCCACAATATATTAATATATTTCAAATCCATGAACAGACATATTGTAAAAAACAAAGTGATTGCATTTCCAATCCTTATTTTAAAAAAAATTTATGTTGCTTTACTTCATCAATTTTTAGGGTGCGTGTATTGCAAATGAGTATATATCAAGCGCATCATCACTTTGCAATTCAGGTCCATCATAAGATTGTAAAAATATAAACTAAAAATAATGAGGGTATTGTGTAAAATTTGAATATATTTCAGTAGTTCATGGTGAATGTAAAGCTAAATTTATATGAGTTGTCATTAAAACAGAACCAGCAATACCGTTATTAAACCCAGTTATGTTGCTGAAGACTATCATGCAATTTAAATACATTCCACATTATTGCTGCTTTACCACATGCAATTAAAGAAAAAAGATCATAGGTATTGAAGATTCTTCATTCATCAGGTTAAACCACCACTTAAATGAGGTTGATTTAACTAGATATCTAATAATGCCATGCAATATAAGCAACGTTACACTGCACATTATTAGGTGCCATTAATATTATAATGCAGTCTTATCTGCTATCTTTCAACAAGGGATATGGTGAGATATTAAAATTTTTTTGATACGAAGAAGCAGCTGTTAAAGTTCAGTAGAATTTACTTGCAATTTTATTTTATTGGTCTATAAATATTATAAAGCAAAATATAGAATTTACAAGATTAAAACCTCGTTGAAGGAAAAGATTCTAGTTGCTGGAAAATTGCAAATGATAAAAAATAATATGAATAAATTGTAAAAGGTAATAAATAATAAGAATAGATTGCAAAAGATTGTAAATAATAAGAATAAATTGCAAATGATATAAACTACTCAGAAAAAATTTAACAAAGTACCAATAACAAATAAATTATTACTAAACCTATTATATATGCTAGTTTAGCAAAAGACGAATTAAAGGACATCTACTAATCTGCTCAACTAGAAATACAATAAATTTGTTATTATTGCAAAAAAATAATAGAGGAAAACTAAATTTAATTGACATGCTATCATCATTTACATTTAGAATGTTTTACTATGTTAATTTAAAATTAAATACAAAATAATAGCCCAAGATTGCTATGTCTCTGTAATCAATATATAAAATCGCAGTTAATTTAGAATTATATACATGATGAAAATCTAATTGAGCAATATTTTAATAATCAACTCAAATATATTCAAAAGGGTTAAACGAAATAATTTAAAATATGTTAGAAAAGTGAATAATGCCCATTCTTTTATATTGAGACAGATAATTAGAGCGTTTCTTATTGCGAACAATGTGATCAATAAACATAAACACTAGCTAGCTATATAAAATTGAATTTCGTTTAAATATATAAATCCTATTGAATATTTTATAATTAATATAAAATTAATCATTGATTTCACAGTTAATTGTTTTAGTTTTCTTCATTTATCAGTAATTTTCTTAAGATTTTTTTAATTTCTTCTAAANGCTAAACAATTTATATCTTTTGGTCAATTTAATTAAATCTATAAAATAGAAACAACATTTCTCCACAATATATTAATATATTTCAAATCCATGAACAGACATATTGTAAAAAACAAAGTGATTGCATTTCCAATCCTTATTTTAAAAAAAATTTATGTTGCTTTACTTCATCAATTTTTAGGGTGCGTGTATTGCAAATGAGTATATATCAAGCGCATCATCACTTTGCAATTCAGGTCCATCATAAGATTGTAAAAATATAAACTAAAAATAATGAGGGTATTGTGTAAAATTTGAATATATTTCAGTAGTTCATGGTGAATGTAAAGCTAAATTTATATGAGTTGTCATTAAAACAGAACCAGCAATACCGTTATTAAACCCAGTTATGTTGCTGAAGACTATCATGCAATTTAAATACATTCCACATTATTGCTGCTTTACCACATGCAATTAAAGAAAAAAGATCATAGGTATTGAAGATTCTTCATTCATCAGGTTAAACCACCACTTAAATGAGGTTGATTTAACTAGATATCTAATAATGCCATGCAATATAAGCAACGTTACACTGCACATTATTAGGTGCCATTAATATTATAATGCAGTCTTATCTGCTATCTTTCAACAAGGGATATGGTGAGATATTAAAATTTTTTTGATACGAAGAAGCAGCTGTTAAAGTTCAGTAGAATTTACTTGCAATTTTATTTTATTGGTCTATAAATATTATAAAGCAAAATATAGAATTTACAAGATTAAAACCTCGTTGAAGGAAAAGATTCTAGTTGCTGGAAAATTGCAAATGATAAAAAATAATATGAATAAATTGTAAAAGATAACTACATTTTAGAGTGCACTTTCTACTTTTTCAAATATCAAAGTTTGGTCAAATTTCATATGTATATGAGCAAACAACTCAGGTATAAATAGAGGAGGCATTATTAAAAGAAGGAAAATATTAATATTTTGGACATGGACATGATAAAAGCTTCCTATTTACTTCTTGGTGAACACTATCATAAGTTTATTATTTGGAAAAACAATATTTATTTTCAAGAATCATCTTCATCTAACTTAGTCGAAAGAAATGGGAGAAACCTATACCGGTCTGCTAAAATCAATTATTAACCTCAACAGATAATTTGCTTGAATCGAAAATTAGGGAGTAAATACTAACTTTTTTTCCTAACAATTCAGAAGTAATAGGCAAGAATACTTACAATTAGATTAATAAAAAACTTAAGAATGTTTCAAACAAAATACAAATAATCTAAATCATATAATGAACCAATACTTGTCTGGAGTTTAAATTGATGTAAGTAAAAAATTTAATTAGAAACTCAAATTTAAATGTTAATTAAAATTAAATAATTAAATAGAATTACTATTTGTAAATCAACTCAGATTATATTTAATGCCCTATTTCAGAACATGCCAATGGTGTCAAAGCAACCTGTTTAATGAGTCTTGTAAAGTAAACAGATTACATTGTATTTAAGGAATGAGAGATGGTATTCATTTTTCTCATCCTTAAAATTAAGAAGGCCTACCAATGTTTTTTGAATTTATTGAAAAAATTCAAAATGAATGTGATGAATTGATAAATAATTTGTATAAATAAATGGATTTAGCTTATTAATAATTCTATTAAGTTATTGGAGGAATTAGATTTAGATAACAGTAATTTAAATAATAATTTCTAAACTTACAACAATTGAAGACCAAATCTAATAATCCATCAAGGAATTTTAATATTAAATGGAAAAGTTGATATCTGGTTTAAAATTATACTTCATTAACTCTATATTATATAATATTAGTATAAATCAATTAAATCTGAAATAAATTATTATTTATTATCTGATTCAAATCTTCAAAAGTCAGAAGACTTATTTGAAAAGGTAATAAATCAATCAAATTAGGCTATCAATTAACAATTTAGGATTAAAATTATGAACCCAGCAGCAAATAAAATATATAAATAACACCCTTTTTGCTTCAATTCTCAATTAAATGAATTTTAAATAATTTTAAATCTTGAAAATATCAAAAATTTGCTCTTATTTCAAAATTTAGATATATAATTAAAAAGAGAAAATGGAAAAATTTAATTAAATATCCTAGCTACTCGAACCAGAAAAGATATATATATATATATATATATAAATAGACTAAATATGTCGAATAGGATGAGAATTTGAACAAACAAATTTTAGACATGGAAAGAAATGACAAAGAAAGACTCAATAAATTTTCTCCAGCACACCAAATAAATAAGAAGGGATTAGAAAGGGGGAAGAGTGAACATAATGAGACGATAAGATGAGAGTGACTAAATTACAAATTATGAGGAGATAATAAAACAATGCCTTGAGAGGATGAAGAAAACATAGGGTGCACTAACAGAAGAGTTTCTGGAGGCATAAGATCAGACACGATGGGGAGGATTTTGAGAATGATGATGGGAAGGTGGAAAAAATAAAAATTGAGACATTAATGAACAGAAAAGATGAATATATACAATGGTATATCATTTGATTTCTCCCATCTGACCCCAGTATGACTGATAATGGAGGAACAGTTTAATGGGGAGCATCGATGGGGCACTATATGATATAGAGATCTGGAAAAGAAATTAATACGGTTTGGCAGAAAGGTTAATCTCCTTGAACAAAGTTATGGCTAGTGTGGAAGAGGTGGGACCAATAATGGTCTAGAAACAACAAGTCAAATTCATGGAGTGGATATATGTGCAGACTTTAAAGAAATTAATTTAAAATGAGAATATTTTCTAATTATTTTTCAAAAAATTGAATAGATTCTCAACAACATTAATTTTCAGAATTTATTTATGCAACCTTAAAATGAAATAAAACAGATAAAAAAATATTAATTGAATAAGTTGATTTGAATAATAAGCCTTATATGAAAAATGATGCTTCATAACTTTAATAACTATTTCTCTATATAATTCTTGTCATTTGATCCTATTTCCAATGCAAGTAAATAAAAATTTTTAGCCTCAATTTTGTTCCCTAATTCAAATATTTTAAAGATTCTCTTTGTAAGCTTTAGTGAATCAGCTAAATAAAACTATTAATTTAGGATAATGTACCTTTTCGTATTAAACTCAGAAGATTTATACCAATGGACAAGGCTTAATCAAAACTTAAAATTGCATCTTTATATTACTTTAACTTATGTAGTGCCAGACCTAACTTATGATAAAAAATTTACCTTTATCACTATAAGCTATCTCAAATTTAGGATCAATGGAAATAGCTTTGTCGAAGCATTCAATAGCTTTTTAGTATTACTCTAAACTACTTAATGCTGAACCTATTAATAATACATTTGAATTTTATTACCTTTGTTTTTCAATGCCGTCTTAAATTTAGGTTTTAACATAATAGCTTAGTCGAAACATTCAATAGCTTCTGAGCATTTCTGTAAACCATGTAACGCGTAGCCTAAATTCAATATATTAAAATTCATTACCTTTATTATTCCATGCTTTATAATATTTAGGATTAATAGAAATTGCTTAGTCGTAACATTCAATTGCTTCTTAATACTTATTAAGACTATCNATATATATATATAAATAGACTAAATATGTCGAATAGGATGAGAATTTGAACAAACAAATTTTAGACATGGAAAGAAATGACAAAGAAAGACTCAATAAATTTTCTCCAGCACACCAAATAAATAAGAAGGGATTAGAAAGGGGGAAGAGTGAACATAATGAGACGATAAGATGAGAGTGACTAAATTACAAATTATGAGGAGATAATAAAACAATGCCTTGAGAGGATGAAGAAAACATAGGGTGCACTAACAGAAGAGTTTCTGGAGGCATAAGATCAGACACGATGGGGAGGATTTTGAGAATGATGATGGGAAGGTGGAAAAAATAAAAATTGAGACATTAATGAACAGAACAGATGAATATATACAATGGTATATCATTTGATTTCTCCCATCTGACCCCAGTATGACTGATAATGGAGGAACAGTTTAATGGGGAGCATCGATGGGGCACTATATGATATAGAGATCTGGAAAAGAAATTAATACGGTTTGGCAGAAAGGTTAATCTCCTTGAACAAAGTTATGGCTAGTGTGGAAGAGGTGGGACCAATAATGGTCTAGAAACAACAAGTCAAATTCATGGAGTGGATATATGTGCAGACTTTAAAGAAATTAATTTAAAATGAGAATATTTTCTAATTATTTTTCAAAAAATTGAATAGATTCTCAACAACATTAATTTTCAGAATTTATTTATGCAACCTTAAAATGAAATAAAACAGATAAAAAAATATTAATTGAATAAGTTGATTTGAATAATAAGCCTTATATGAAAAATGATGCTTCATAACTTTAATAACTATTTCTCTATATAATTCTTGTCATTTGATCCTATTTCCAATGCAAGTAAATAAAAATTTTTAGCCTCAATTTTGTTCCCTAATTCAAATATTTTAAAGATTCTCTTTGTAAGCTTTAGTGAATCAGCTAAATAAAACTATTAATTTAGGATAATGTACCTTTTCGTATTAAACTCAGAAGATTTATACCAATGGACAAGGCTTAATCAAAACTTAAAATTGCATCTTTATATTACTTTAACTTATGTAGTGCCAGACCTAACTTATGATAAAAAATTTACCTTTATCACTATAAGCTATCTCAAATTTAGGATCAATGGAAATAGCTTTGTCGAAGCATTCAATAGCTTTTTAGTATTACTCTAAACTACTTAATGCTGAACCTATTAATAATACATTTGAATTTTATTACCTTTGTTTTTCAATGCCGTCTTAAATTTAGGTTTTAACATAATAGCTTAGTCGAAACATTCAATAGCTTCTGAGCATTTCTGTAAACCATGTAACGCGTAGCCTAAATTCAATATATTAAAATTCATTACCTTTATTATTCCATGCTTTATAATATTTAGGATTAATAGAAATCGCTTTGTCGAAACATTCAATAGCATCTGAGTACTTCTTTAAATTGTTTAATGCTGAACCTATGTAATAATAGATATAAATTAATTACCTTTGTTATTCCAGGCTAAATCATATTAAGGATTAATTGAAATAGCTCTGTCGTAGCAATAAATAACTTCTGAGTATTTCTGAAAACTTTGTAATGTAAAACCTATACAATAATACATTAAAATTCATTACCTTTATTATACCATGCTTTATCGTTTTTGGGATTAAGTGAAATAGCTTTGTCGTAGCAATCCATTGCTTCTTAGTATTTCTTTAGATTGTGTAATGCTGAACCTATACAATAATACATTAAAATTCATTACCTTTATTACACCACGCTTTATCGTTTTTGGGATTAATTGAAATAGCTTTGCCTTAGCAATTTATAGCTTCTTGGTATTACTTTAGAGTGATTAATGCCTAACCTATATAATATGTTGAAATTTTATTACCTTTATTATTCCAAGCGTCATCATTGCAGGGATTAATTGAAATAGCTTTATCGTAGTACTCAATAGCTTCTTATATTTTGTTTAAATTATTTAATGCTGAACCTATAATAATTTGTCGAAATTAAATACCTTTATAATTCCATATACTATCATCATTGGGATTAATAGAAATAGCTATATTAAAACTCTCAATTGCTTCTTAGTATCTCTGTAAATCGTGTAATACAATACCTATTTTCCAATAAGATTTGTTATACCGTTATTAAATATTTCTTAAAAGGGGCAAATTTCCATCTGTTTAAAATCATTGTTCACCTCATTATTAGAATCTTTATTCTAAACAGAATTAGTTTAATCAACTACTTGATTTTATTTTGCTACCTTACTCTTAATTGTTTCAAGAATTTTATTCAATTGTAATACTTAGTATTCTATATTAAGAATAAAAAAGGATACATATTTAATTTTCTATTTCCTTTGAATAATAGTGTTTGATTATGTGAATTTATGACTTAAAAGTTAAATAATCATTGTTTGAAAGTTACTAATTCATATTTTCTAATATTTTAATGTCCTGGTCTATATTTTTTTAAATCTATTCAAAATGATTTTAGACTTATTTAGAGATTTCTTACAGTTATTTCTTAGATTGATTATTCAGTTGAATGAATTCATTTATAAATTAAGTAATTTTAGTGAATCGAATACAATCATTGAAATGTTATTAATGATTCATATTTAAACATTCAAAGCAAAATTGAGTTGCATTTTAACAATTCTGATTTAAACAAAATCCTATTATTTCTTCATTTTCATGGCTCAGATATTTACATCTAAAGATTTTCATTCAAAATATGTAAAAAAAAAATTAATATATAAATAAATTTTCTTTTCACACTCAAATATCATTCATAATCAATTAAATTCATACTATATCATCATTTAACCTTGATAATCGTCTAATTATTTTAGAATTAATTATTCTTCGAATACTAATATCTAATTCTAAATATTCCTTGTAAAAGTGAGATATTTACTATATTAATAGAGTGTATTATTCTGCTATTTATTTAATTAATTTTCTATAGAATAAAAGTTCTTTTTGTTTCTTCCAACTCAGCATCACCAAATCTCAATAAAAGCTTTGTTTATGTTTAAAAGTGATTCTCATATAGGTTAGTCTTTAACTTAGTAATGATGATGTCTAATTGTTGTACATTGTTAATACATACGAGATGATAAAAAAGGTGATAACTCTGTAAACTATATTTATTAATGTTGAAAATTATTTTCTGATTTCCTTTATTAATTCAATAGAAATTGATAAACATATTTCATCATATTGGTTCAAATGAAACATACATTAGCTCGCATAATTGTAACAAACTATTCAATTATCAATTATTTTATCTCTATTAAATCCACAATCATTTCAGTACAAGTTAATTAATTTCCTGAATTTCTCATAATTCTAAAAATAGATCTGATTTTCAACTCCTATATTTCATTCTTATTTATTTCCATTTTAGTATTTTAAATTGTTAATATTATATTATTGCTATAATATATTTGAAAACTGTGGATATTAATCATTTAGTATTTTTAATTTAAATAATTTGATTAAAGCGTTTAAGAATCCTTAAAAAAGTATGTATTAGTCTATTGTAGAGTTTGTAAACAAGGATGTAACATAAATGAAGAGATTGAAGTGGGAACATATGAATATCAAGGAACAATTGGGAAAGAGGATCAGAAAGGATTTATTTATACTAAATTCTAATTCAAGTAAATTTAGAATTTTAAAATTTAATACTTAAGAAATGGATTAGTCATAAGGATGTAAGAGTCCATTAATAATAACTTTAAAATAGTGATTAAGTAGAAAGGTCAAAAATACCTAAAGTTTCAACTAATTTAGATTAAATCTAATAGAAAGTTGGTTACTGGTATGCTAAATGGAAAGGTGAAAATATCTAAGGTGTTGGTGGAGAGTATTCAGAAAAAGGGAATAAGGAAGGCAAATGGAAAGAACTAATTTCAAATTATTGGGCATAAAGCACTATTTCAGATATATTAGTTTAGCCAAAGCTTATGAGTTTGGAGAATCTGATAATGGGTTTAAAAAAGGTAAATGGAAATATTAGTATAAAGATGAAGTGATGTATTAATTAAATTAAATAATTAGCTAATATAATGAAACTGGTCAAAGAAATGGTAAATAGGTGAATATGTTGGAAGCTTTTTGGGATTAATCTCAAGTTACTTATAACGGTGAATGTCACAGTAGTAATAACTTCGGCAGATGGGATATCATGCATAGGCGACATAAATATTAACCATTCGAATAAATGTAAAAAATATAGATAAAGTTAAATATGTTCAAACAATTTATTTTCAGTGGTGGTGGATCTTATGACAAAGCAAATGATGATGTTAAGATTGGCTAGTGGATTGATTTGGATGAAAATTTCTTGAATAAAAAACAAGTAACATTTGTAGGTGAATATTAAAATGGGAAAAAAGTTGGGATGAAGAAGATGGATAGAATAAACAAAATTAATATTGAAAGTTTATCATAAAATAGTGGAAGTGGTTCTTATGAAGAAGGAGGTGATGGTATTAAGGTAGGGAAGTGGATTGACTTAGACAAAAATTTTTGGGAAAGAAAATAGGTTACTTATATTGGCGAGTATCGAAATGGTTAAAAAGTTGGGAGGTGAGATATTGGCTTCATTTAATAGAACAATCATGTGCAAGCTAATTTTCATAATCAAAGAGTGTTAAAAGGAGTTTCGAAAATTATTTCTGCAAGTTGATTGTTGGCTATACCATATTCATGTTACAAATAAGTAGAGATTAAGCTTTACATTTAGTTAGCCATAACCCTTTTAGAAACTTGTAATCTCTTACTACATTAGAATTAGCACTAATAAATAAATCTTGATGAGAATCTTAATTCTCTCTGGTGTTCCTCATTCAGACTTGTATCATATTCCTTCATGATGTCAGCTTATGTTGATTTTATTGTTATTTCTCAATTTTAAGATATTGGGCTCCTATTATTGTTTTGGCTTAGCAAAATAATCATTCTCTTCCGATTTTGCATATCAATTCTTAATGGAGTATTCCGAAGTCTTATATTAACAATTATATATTGTTTATATGTATTATATGCATTTATAAATAAGTGTAGACCTTTAGTATTGTGGTGATTTGATGACAATAATTTAATCTGCTGTTAAAATACACTACATATATTTTAGGAATTCCAAATGCTAAAATGACAGTAGTTTCTTCTCTTTTCCAAAGAAGGATAGGTGGTTTGCATTTCTCTGAAGGGAAATTCTGTTACTTTTTCTGTGTAAATTGACCAATAAAGAACAAGTATTAACGAACTTGAGTTGTGAACGCAGTCCTCTTACTCCAGAGAGGCTCAGATTACAAGAGATATATAAAATTAAGCAACTCAATATATGAATGCAATATTTAAGATACTCACAAAGAATAAATATATGATGTTGAAGATATTTAAAATCATTCTTATCTAGATAGTGAACGTAAAGAGAGAAAGGATTCGAAAGGAGTAAGAAGTATTTGAACTCTTGTTATACCATATATTTTACGGACACCACTTAATGGTTTTAATAAAGAAATAAGTGCTAATGTAGATTCTGAATTGAAACATAGAATAAACTCATACTTAGATGTATTTTGAAAAATTTTACCTTTTGGTGTTGAATATTTATTTAGCGAAATGATCAAAAGGAAAGTGGAAACTGAGGTTGAAAAGACAAGAGTTTGCTCCTGTTATGGTTATAAGGGATATTTATTTTGTATTTAGGAAAGAACATGTATATTATGATTTGCTACATGCAATGAAACTCAAAGGAATAAGAAAGGTGATATGAATAGACTATCTCTTGTTTTAGTAAGAGCTGCATCAGGATTAAGGAAATGTTCTTGGTTTAGAGAATTTTCAGATCTATCAGATTGTTGTAAAAATCTCATCCTAAGAAGAACATGTTCTAAATTCTTTTTCTTAAAATCAAATAACTAAGCCTGAAGCTCGAAAATGCGAAATTGGATCAATAGCTACATATATGTTAAGTTGTTATGAATTTATAGAATTTGTAGAATTCTCATTATTCCTACATCTTAGATTTTATAGAAAATTAATGTAGATTTTATATTCCTTGAACTCAAAAGATTTCGATAGAATACTGCAATAATCTAAATTCTAAAACCAATTAACAAGGTTCTATTATTAATATGGTAAAGACACTTGGAGGTGGGTTAGATTTTAATAGGGGGAGATAATTTCTTATGCATTCAAATTCTGATTAAAATATAAGATTAAATTTCAGAATGTCCTTTTTGGAATTTGAAAGGAGAAACTTAAAATTTGATCTATAAGCAGAAGGCTATTTGGTATGACTAAAGGAAGCTTTCAACGATCAGATTTGCAAAAACTAAGGAATTGTTATTTGATGTCTATCAAATTAGTAGCATATAATTTTCTCTATGATATTGGTCCATGAAGTTGGATGTATCCTAAAATTTCATGTAGAAGTTAATTAAGACCATGTTCTAGAAAGATTGCAATTGAATTGATTGAAGTTTGCGTATAAATATATTGAAAACAGAGCCTGATTTAATAAATATGTAAGTTTTATTGAATAATTAGGTTGCTCCACTCACTACGAAAGATTAGCCAAGGAACTGAAAGTTAAAAATTCATTCGTGTTCCTGGAATTGTGAAATTATATCTATAATAAGATCTGAGATAAGTTGTGAGAATTAGAAGGGTTGCTAGAATAAATTCACAAATTTGTATGGATGCGAGAATAGATGTAGAAATGAGATGGAGTCAATTAAGAGAGGCGTATTTTCAAGTTGAGATTCATTCGAATAATTGTTTGCCCCATTTTTTTTCTACATCTATTTTAATCTTCTACTGAAAATGTGGCTATGATGAATAGTAATGTGATAAAATCACCAAAAATTCATGAAAGAGGCAAAGGACTTAAATTTCAAGCCATAATTGGAAAATCCAAATATATAACAAGATTGAATATTGAGAGGTAATGATCGGATTTGATCAGTATTGTAAGAATGACATATCCCAAATATTTTTGGAAACTTTTAATGTAAAAGGAGGCTCAAGCATCACTTTCTAGGAAATGAAGTAGATAAATCACTTTTCTGTCTGCATAATTGGCTTCGCTTTTTCTTTTTTCGTTCCTAAGAATATGACTCAGTTTCTCATATAAATCAATCTTTACTTTGATTCTATATAACATCTATGGGATAAGATAAGTTGAGGGGATATCATAAATTGAAGAAAATTTTAAGGTTTTCCCTTCAAAATTCTGCCTGTAAATATATGTCCACCTTGACAAATTAATTGATGAATTCCTGGTTTGTTATATCCATCTAAAGCTTCTTCACAGTCATCCTTAACTTAGGATCTTCAAGTTTTTCAAAATCCCTTTGAACTTCATTTTGCATCGCACTAATTACATCTTAGTTAACTTAGGTTTAAAACCAAGAGTGTTCCGAATTTGAGCTCAATAGAAAGTCAAGTTGAAGCCCAATTAGAAATAGATCAAGAAATTACTTTATATTTTATCAAAGACATCCTATCTGAATAAACACAGTTAAATTTTGATTTTAGTAATTTCTCTTGTAATAGTATTATAAATATTTCTGACTACTCATTATGCGCTAATATTCACGTAATCCAGAATGTATTTTGTTTTACTTTCATGAATTACTGTCGTTTTAGATATCAGCAGTTTTCAAAGTTAAATTATATTTCTTACTACAAAGAACTGCTATTGTTAAGATGGTAAATGTGTAAATGATATTGATTGTCAAATTAATACAACTTCTGTTACAACTCGTGAATGTCTATTAGTAAATGCTACCTACTGCAGATATAATTATACAAAAGGTTTAGGATGCTCTTTTTATGATTGTAGTGATATCAAAAAAGAAACTATACGTACTTCATCAAATCTTGATAATGGATAAAATTGTAAATGGGTAAGTGGTTCTTGTTATCCTCGTTCTTGCTTAGAATATACAATATAAGCTGATTGTGAAAGTAGTTATGGCTCAAATAACTTTGCAATCACAAAATGTTATTGGTGTTTAATAAATGCCAACAAATGCTCCAATAATAAATATTGCTATCCAACTAGCATGGTTCTACCTAATTCGCATCAAGATTGCAACAGTGTAAATAGCTTGAATACATTTACTTTTTAATCAACCATATTATGCACGATAAAAAGCCTATTATGTTCAAATTACCTCAACTAAGGAGCTTGTTTTAGCACAATTTATGGGATAGAATGTTATTGGAATGATTATGCTCTAATAACAGCAATTCAGATGGAATTCCTTGCTTCTGGTTTGGTACCTAATGCCTAGAAAAAACCTGTATCAATATACCTACAGCTCCGTCCTCTAATGTAGATTGCAATAGTTGGCTAACGAATTGTTAATTTAATTCCAATACTAATTAATGTGTTGAAGATTGCACTTCTGCTGATAATTCATATATCACACATGAATAGTGTGAATCTTACTACTTCAACAAAAAATGCACTGTCAAGCTTGATATTATTTAATGTGTAGACCTTCCCCTTTCGTGTGCATTAGCGAAGTAGATGCAATGTTATTTGGATATAGATGGTAACTAATGTTATTATTCAATATTAACACAATCTTGTTTAATTTTAACTTGTTCAAATTTGGATTCAGATTTTACTACTCATTAATAATGTAACCAAAGATTTGAATAGTGCACAGTAAATACTACCTTGAATGGGTGCTAATAATTGAACGATTGCAATAGTTATTTGATTCAAGAACAATGTTATTTTGATTAAAATAAAATCGAATGCTAATGAATTTAGAGCCAAAGTAAATGTATGAGGAAGGAATGCTCATCAGCCTAATTAAATTTATATACAGCGCATAGTTGTCGTTAGTATTTTGGTGTTTCGTGTTCTGTAATTAAAAACTTAAATGGATGCAAAACTGGTTAATCATTTTGTATGGATTATAACCATAACCAATGTATAAGTGATGGATAAATTAACTTAAATGGAGTAGAGTGTTTCTGGAATGAAGATAAAAGTACCTGTTAAGAACGGATATGTGCAAATGGACCTTCAAATGCCTCATCTCATTAAGAATGTGCAAATTTCCTTTCAACTTGTCAAAAAGGAGGGTGTCGTATAAAAGGGTGTTTTGATTACTAATACGCAATAGATGCATCTATATTTGAAGGTAAAAGGTGTGTAACAAATGGGATTCGATGTGCTTTAAGAAAGGAATGCAAAGATATAAATATAGAGGATGGGTGTAAGTTTGATATTAATTTAAATCCTTGTGTTTGGATTGATGAAAAGTGCTATTCTAAAACCTGCTAGACTGCATAAGTTGCTCTCACTAAACATGAGGACTGCAATTCGTATTTATCATATTGCACAGTTAAATAAGGGGGAGGATGCACTAACAAGCAAAATTGCAAGGATTATTAAATATAAGAAGCTTGCTTTACAGATGGAGAGAATTTTGAATGTATTTGGGATGTCAATTTAAGTAAATGCTTCTCCAATTAATGTATTCACTTTTGTGGCGATGGCATTGTTACAGGATAGGAGGAATAATGTGATGATGGCAATTACTTCCCATATGATGGTTGTTATCGATGCTAAGTTTAATGTCCATAAGGATGCAATAAATGTATATTAAGAATGGTTGCCATTACGATAGCTTGTGGCTTAAATATTATTAATAAATAATTTACATTAATCACTTATAAATAAAAATACTAGTTTATGATTTAACAAAATAGTCTTCCTCTCTAATAATTCTAATATTTTTCAACAAAAAATTTTGAGGACACTTTGTTTAACCATTTCATGTATTTCGGTATGTTGCATCAGATTATGGCAAACCATTATCTTTAACTATTCCGTTTGAGATTCGATAACAATTTATATATCTCCCTATTTTGCCTACAGTTCCTAATTTGAAATTGAAATTTGAATAATCTCACCTTTCGATTCTTAAGTTATCGATTTTATGTAGATATAATACCATAAGTCATCTCTACATTCTAATTTACACTCAGCTATTTACATCTTGCATCAGGGATCTTGTTCGTGCAATGCATAGACAATTTGAGTTAAGTCTATATTTTATTTCTCTAAGTCCCAATCAGGATACTTATATTGCAGAATAGGACCCCACAAATAGAAGGTAGGTACTCTAATTATTATAAAAAGGATTCTAAGCCTTTCTTTTTCGTCTTCTTACATCTAGTCACATGACTTCTTTTTAATAAATTTTTTACTTCTGCAAGATATTTTAAAATATACTATTACTAACCAATTGATAGTTCAACCTTTATGATATTTAGGCGAGCAAAATATAAGCCTAAAATTTTAATCAAATGTAATTTGAATATTAAGTTAAAATGATCAAAATAATTTTTCCTATCTCCCAAATCATAGATATCTCCTTTTATTGAAGCACAACAGAATAAATTAAATAAGAGATTAAATAAATTAATCTTAATATTAGTGAAATAATTAATTCATGAGCTGCACTCTCAGAACTATATAAGCGACAAATTTTAATTAATGTTAATGTTATCTATATATAAGTATTATACTTTTTTTCTATTTATTTTATCGAAAATTATTTCCTCTTTTTAAAATCAATTTGCTATGCTAGCACTTATTTAATAATTTATTATCATCGATAGTAAGCTAAGTGTTTGTTCATAAGCAAAATGAGATTGCCCCAATTCTGACTCTTATTCCTTTGAGGCCTTAGTTAAAAAGTTGAGTAAGAAGTCCTATAATCATACCCTTTTATTTCAGAAGAGCATAGCTAGAATTTTCTATCAAAGCTCACATAATCATATACAGAATACTCCAATTATATGCAAAACCTCACTCAGGAAGATTCTTCTTCGCTGTTTGGTTTATTGCTTCTAATATACAAAAAGAGTATTTTAAGTGTAAGGTAAAATAAGTATTGTATTTATCTCCAAGTTGATTGAATCAATGATGTAAAGCAAATTATTTCAATAAAACAAAATATTCTGATTAAATTTATTGCTGTATTCTTATCCATATTTGAAGACAAAACAAATTTGATTTATCGATTAAAAATGTGACCTTTCTTGTTTTTTCTATGTGTTCTGTTTAACTTCTCTTTTATTTAATCTCCAAATTCTCACAATAATTTTATCAAGTTAATAATTATTGTTTTATCAACTCTTATAGTATAAAATACTTTTTAAAGCGTTAAATCTTTAATTTATAATATGAAAATGAAAACAAAAATGAGAGGAAGAATTTTTACAAGTACAAATATTAAATAACATCCTTTGATATTTTGATATGCTCCTCCAATAAAAATGTAATGAGAAAATTGACTACATTTAATCACTTTTGAATTCAGAATAAGTTGAATGAATTCCATTTCATTCAATGAAGTGGATAAGGAACTGTTTAAGATGTGAACTTAATAATTTGTTAAATTTAAAGGTGATAACAGAAAGGGTTTAGAATATTAAGACATATATATGATTAAGTTCTGATTATTTTAGGTAGAGATAAAGCATTAAATTAAAGATGCTTAGAAATCTAAAAAATAATGAATATAAATAAATTCTATTACATCTTAACATATTTTCTCAGATTAATAAAGTTTATAGTTATAATTAATTACACTAATTTTGGACCGCAACCTAAAATCAATATAAAATATGTTTTCATGCAAAGTTGTTATCCAAAATATTCACAATTTTAATACTTTTCTTTAGGACTTAAAACTGAAATCTATAATAAAATACTAACTTATAAATATTTTGTCACAGCCTTAATTTTAATATTTATTAAGTTATTATAAAATTCCTTCTGAATAAACTAAAGTAAAATTATTGAATAGATTTCTGACTCTTGTTTAGTTACCAAATAATTTTTGATAAGAAAATAAAGAGACTCTAAGAGATATAATCTCTACACTTTGAATTTCATTCCTCCATCTGCATGAATTGATATCTAAAATTCCATTTTAATCTAAGACCTATAAACAATTAATCATAATAAATTTAGAGAATTAAGACTTCTAAACACGTAGTAGAACTAACTAAATCTAATAAAAGAATTTTCATTTAATCCTGCTATTAAAAAGAATACCCAAAAAATTTAGGTGAACGAATGTTATAATTATCATATCTTTAATTAATATAAAACAATCACCATTTTTCTATTACTAAGATAATAAAATAATAAAAATGATGAAGCAATTCTGTCAAGATTACCAAAACAACTAGATAGGTATATTAATAAGTAATAGAAAGGTGCAATAAATTATTTTTGGTAACTTATTAGTAATTATAATACTTTCATATTAATTTATTAATAAAATCAAAGAAAGCTTATAGAAAGGGTGCCATTTCTTCGAAATAAACGAAATGGTAAGATTTAAGACTGCATTCAATATAAAATAATTAAAAGAATTTAACAATTAATAAAAGCGTAGATAAAAAGAAGATACAATATAAATATATATCAAATGGTTAGATTAGACGAGGGATTAGAATAATTTAATTCATATATTCAGAAAAATTGTGGAAATACAGATAATTAATAATAGAAAGGTAGAGTTAACTTTTAATATTTTTATAGTTGATGAGTTAATTGAAAGCGATAGATTGGAAGAAGCATTAGAATATTATAATTTAGATATTGAGAAACATCCTGAAAAAATTCCGCCTATATTCAGAATCAAGGTATACTAACTCTGCTTATTGCTTAGCTATCATCTTATTTAAAATGAATAGGGTTAAAGAAGCATTGAAATATTATGATTAGGCTCGTTAGTTAGATCCTAAATATCTAACCTATAATTATAACGAAGGTATACTTTATTCGGCATATTTACAAAGCGGTTTCTTTATTTTTATTAAGCATTACCTTATTATAGTGAAATGAATAGTTTGTGTGAAGCGTTAGAATACTTTAACTTTGCTATATAGAATAATCCTGGAAATGAAGAATATTACCATTATAAAGGTAAATTAACTCTGCATTTCCTTAGAGAGTATTTTATTTTTTTAATCTTTATTGTAAGGGCAGAGATGAAATGGGTAGATTTGAAGAAGCGCTGAAATATTATGATTTAGCCATTTAGATAAATCCTCAAAATTCACATTTTTATAGTAATAAATGTATATTTAATTTTTTATTTNGAAATCTATTATAAAATACTAACTTATACATATTTTGTCACAGCCTTAATATTAATATTTATTAAGTAATTATATAATTCCTTCTGAATAAACTAATGTAAAATTATTGAATAGATTTCTGACTCTTGTTTAGTTACCATTTAATTTTTGATAAGACAATAAAGAGACTCTAAGGGAAATAATCTCTACACTTTGAATTTCACTCCTCCATCTGCATGAATTGATATCTAAAATTCCATTTTAATCTAAGACCTATAAACAATTAATCATAATAAATTTAGAGAATTAAGACTTCTAAACACGTAGTAGAACTAACTAAATCTAATAAAAGAATTTTCATCTAATCCTGCTATTAAAAAGAATACCCAAAAAAAATTAGGTGAACGAATGTTATAATTATCATATCTTTAATTAATATTAAAACAATCACCATTTTTCTATTACTAAGATAATAAAATAATAAAAAAGATGAAGCAATTCTGTCAAGATTACCAAAATAACTAGATATATTAATAAGTAATAGAAAGGTGCAATAAATTATTTTTGGTAACTTATTAGTAATTATAATACTTCCATATTAATTTATTAATAAAATCAAAGAAAGCTTATAGAAAGGGTGTCATTTCTTCGAAATAAACGAAATGGTAAGATTTAAGACTGCATTCAATATAAAATAATTAAAAGAATTTAACAATTAATAAAAGCGTAGATAAAAAGAAGATACAATATAAATATATATCAAATGGTTAGATTAGACGAGGGATTAGAATAATTTAATTCATATATTCAGAAAAATTGTGGAAATACAGATAATTAATAATAGAAAGGTAGAGTTAACTTTTAATATTTTTATAGTTGATGAGTTAATTGAAAGCTATAGATTGGAAGAAGCATTAGAATATTATAATTTAGATATTGAGAAACACCCTGAAAATTCAGCCTATATTCAGAATCAAGGTATACTAACTCTGCTTATTGCTTAGCTATCATCTTATTTAAAATGAATAGGGTTAAAGAAGCATTTAAATATTATAATTAGGCTCGTTAGTTCGATCCTAAATATCTAACCTATAATTATAACGAAGGTATACTTTATTCGGCATATTTACAAAGCGGTTTCTTTAGTGAAAATGAATAGTTTGTGTGAAGCGTTAGAATACTTTAACTTTGCTATATAGAATAATCCTGGAAATGAAGAATGTTACAATTATAAAGGTAAATTAACTCTGCATTTCCTTAGCGAGTATTTTAGATGAAATGGGTAGATTTGAAGAGGCGCTGAAAAATTATGATTTAGCCATTTAGAAAAATCCTCAAAATTCACATTTTTATAGTAATAAATGTATACATAATTTTTTATTTTATATAGCAAACACTTTACGGAAAATGAATAGATTGAAAGAAGCATTTGAATATAATAATATCTCTATTTAAATAAACCCTGAAAATTCAGTATATTATTACCATTAAGGTAAAGTAATCTTTCCATATTTTCTTAGCCATCACCTTAGAATTAATGGGGAGACTGAATGAGGCATTAGAATTTTGTGAATTTGCTATTAATAAGAACCCTAAAAATTCCGAATATTTAGGATATAAAGGTATGATAAGTTCAGTTTATCTTCTTAGCTAACATTCTAAGTAAAATGAATAGAAGGGGAGATGCATTGAAATATTATCGTTTGGCTATTTAATTAAACCCTGAAAATCCAAAATATTATCATGACTAAGGTAGAGTTAGTTCTTTAATTTTTTAGCTATCAACTTATTAGAAATGGGGAGATTGGTCGAAGCATTGCTAAATCAAGATTCAGCAATTATGAGAGATCCAGAAAAACATAAGTATTACAATAACAAAGGTAATATTAAATTTTATCTTTAAATAGCTGCTATTTTACAAAGAATGAATAAACCAAATGAAGCATTAGGAAATAATGATTTGGCTATTTAGAAAAACCCTGAAAATCCAGACTATTATTTCAACAAAGGTTGATTTACTTCTATATATTTAAAAAGCTACCACTTTAGTATAATTGAATAGATTAGTAGAAGCTTTGGAATATTATGATATAGCAATTTAAAAAAACCCTGAAAATGCAGATTATTATTTCAGCAAAGGTTGAGTTACCATATATTTAAAAGCGACTACATTAGATTAATTGAATAAATTAGAAGAAGCGTTAACATATTATGACTTTTATATTGGTAAACACCATAAAAATTCGAACTATTATGAATATAAAGGTACTATTAATGTTGATATAGCGAAAACTTATTATAATTTTTTATCTTTTTCTAATAATGAAGTTGAATAGATAGGAAGAAGCATTGAATTATTATAATTAAGCTATTTAAATAAACCCGAAAAATTCCCACTATTATAATAATAAAGGTATATTAACTTTTCTGATATGCATAGCGATTGCCTTATTTAACTGAATAGATTTGAAGAAGCATTAGAATAATATGAATTAGCTATTAAGGAAGACCCTCAAAATTCAGAATATATTTCAAACAAATGTAAACTTAACTTTGGATATTTACAAAGCGTCTACCTTATATAGCATGAATAGATTTGAAGAGGCACTATAAGGTTATGAATAAGCCATTTAGATTAACCCTGAATATTCCGCCTATTTTAACTCTAAAGGTATATTAACTTTGTATTTGTACATAGCGATTACTTTAGTTAAATTGAATAGATTAGAAGAAGCATTATAATATTATGATTTAGCGATAGAAAAAACCCCTGAAAATCCTGAGTATTTTAATGAAAAAGGTATATTAACTTTATATCTGCAAACAGCTACTACTTTAGATAGATTGAATAGATTAGATGAAGCATTATCAAATTATGATTAGGCAATTTCGAAAAACAGGACTAATTCTGAGTATTTTGATAATAAAGGTAACAACCTGTTTTCATTATAAACAGCGGCTATTTTAGATAAAATGAATAAATTTGAGGAGTCTTTCTTCTGATTCTTATACAAAAATTCATTTTTTTACAGCCGCGTTTCCTTTTTTCCCAAAATATTTGAAAAACTTTAAGTTTACATCGAGAAAGTATAATTAGTTCAAGTAAAATATGAAAAACTATTTATAATTAATATTTACACTACAGAATAAATAGTTCCAAAACAAAGATTGATTATAAATTAATCAATTTAGATTGATATAAATAATTATATATTTTCATTCATTTTTCCATTTATTTTCTGATTTGTATTTAATTTGATTTGTTGTCCCATGTAATCAAATACTCTCCATCATCACTCATGCTTCCAAAGAAAGAATTCGTTTCGAAATTAATTGACTATTCAGTAACAAATTCTCCATTCGACTTTTTCCTTATCAGATTAATAAATTCCCCATTTTTAAAAACAAGGATTTGTTTTTAATCAATAAATTATGAAGGAAAAAAACATTAGCCATCTAATCCGCATTTAACACTAATATCTTAAGTCTATATAAATTATTTATTGATATCATTCATCTCAAAAACCTATAACTTTTCAGTATTATATGGCGAGAATACAAAGGTATTATCATCAATAAAGCATATGCGATATCCATCCTACTCAATTGTTAGCTTTTAAACTGTTATCCATTCTTTATTTAATTCTGATTATTCTCTTATTAAAATAAACTTATCAAAACCACAAGATATCAACCGATTTTATTATGAATTTAAGCTTAATCCATATACAGATTTTGAATGATCCTTAATAGTTTATTAACATAACCATTCATTTTTCTTTGCCCAAATTTTGATTGCTTTGTCATCACTCCCTGATATAATTTGATCTTCATTATTATTTATTACTAAACAATTGATTTAATGACTATGTCCGTTTAGTATCTATTATTTACTCCATAAATTTTGTTATATTTTTTGCCATATAATAATAGTACCATCTCTGCTCCCTGATATAAAATGATTAGATTTCTTCATAAAGTTTAAAGTAAATACGGAACTCTTGTGTTCATTTAAGCTCTATAGATGTTTCAGGATACCATACCTGAATTCAAATAATTTAATTTATGATCTACACCCAGCCACTAATGTGGAGGAACTTTTATTAAGAGCTATTGCAAAGCAAATCTCATTTTATTAAAATGAATAATCTTGTATTAATTAATAGCAGAATGGTTTCATCTTTTATAGATAAGAAGATTAAAGTATGCTTGATTGTATACTAATAATGTTTGCATCAATATTTTCAACTAATGTTTACGAGCCCTTATCCTAGTCTTAAAGTTTAGGTTCCATTGACATCGAAATATTACTTTTTTCATTTTCACATTCTTAAACAATGCCTTCAGTTACTTCTTTGATTTGTAAATTGGTTTATTGTTCATTTTATGATAATTAATCCTACAATTCTTTCTTTTTCATATAATTTGTGATTAATGGTTGCATAACTTGATAAAGTTATTCAACAAAGTTTGAATTTTCAAATTTATGGCAAGGAAAATTATCAGAATATTCAGAAGTTAATGTTTGAAGAGAATTTTGTTAATTATCATCGATAGCATAAGAAGTACTCTTAAGAATTTAATCTAGTTAAGCATCGATATTGTCAAATATAGACTAATTGATTCATTAATGAACAATATTACTTCAACCTAATTTTATACTTATTGCAAGCATTCTTCCATTTTTTTAAGGTAGTAATCTTTTATATGTTCATCTTGTTAATACATTTGGTAATCTGTAGAATAAATTTATTTATATTGAAATTATCCCCTCGAATTCCATTTTTAATAAAAAAGAATGTATTGAATATCTTCTCACTTTCAAAAAAATAGCAGATTTTGAGAGAATGGATGAGACAAGAATAACTACAGGAATTTAATTCAATAAGGTTTGTTTAGTTTATAGGTTTCAGTTACCAATAGCTAATATTTAAAGTTAACGGATAACTAAAAGGAACAAATCATTAGCTAATCTATTGTTATATGAAGATCAAATCAACTTAAAAATAAGCAATTTACAAACTTGATGTA